ATGCTGAAGAGCTCCTGGTAATTATCATTATCGAACACTCTGCTCTTTATCTTTCAGCCAAATATTTTTGTATTAAAATGTGGCACATTTTAACAGCCTCGGCGCTAGTGCCATGTGCTGACAGGTTTGGTTCATTCCCAACCTTCTAATGAAGAAACCCAGGTCTTAGAAAGGAGGCAACGATGCCAGGACCTGCCTATTTTTCAGTTCCCAGACGATTCCTCTCAATTAGGCCAGGAGAAGATTTTACAATGTCCCCGAACTAACCAGCTACAGGGGGGGAAAGAGAGAGAGAGAGAAAAAAGAGTCTAATTGCTAAACCACATGCCAAAACATTAAATCTATAAAAATAACTGGAAAGTTAGCCCTTTGTCCTTAGAGATCTTACTGATAAAAAGTCAAAATGACTAACGTCCCAGAGACTTCCCTAAACGCACTATCTTGGAGACCTGGTTATAAAGAAACACTCAGAATTTCTCCTAGGAGCTGCATCTGATTCTTGATCAAACTCAAGTTCACTAAATTGTGCTGGAATATGGGTGACAGAAGGGGTATCTCCTTCTGGGAAGACCTGGAAAGTTAGAAAATATGGAAGAAGAAAACCATGATGGTCAGAGCCTTGGAGCTGGTGCACTAGGTCCTCTTTGGCTCCCTAGGATTAGGATATGCCAAGGGGTTTCAGCACCAAGGAAATGCAGGGCTGGGGAGCTGAGTACACGTGCTGGTCTTCCAGAGAGAACAAGCGGCTATCTTCCAAGGCAAGATTTCACGCCACGCAGCCCGGCTGCCCTCCCAGGCCCCACATGTGCTCCAAAACGTAACCCTCCAAAGGCCAGCCAGTGCAAAAAGCCATCTACTGGGTATACCAAGCGGCTGGAGAAATTGTCCCCAGCTCAAATGCAAGCACATAAGCAGGAGCAGAATGTGACCAATGGTGAGTATCTCTGAGTTCGTCCGTTTACCAAACCTTTTCCCAGAGGCACCTCAGGGAGGATGTTTAACAAGAAAAATAGGGAGGAATGATTCCAAGTACAAGATCCAGAGAGGGCAGTATGGCGCCTGGAGGAGAAACGAGAGTGCCTCGAGGAGGGAGAACGGCATCCGAGAACACCTGGGCTTCGTCGCAGTTCTGAACGGGACAGGCCGGGCCGGTGCTGCCCCGGGGGCTCGGGCACTCGAGTCAGAAAAGGCAACTTCTCTCCACCACAAGCAGTTCTATTTCCACGGGCAGCTGCCACCCAGCAAATCGGTAGCATAACCAATAAGGAACTCGAGTTTACACCAAGATACGAACAGTGTTGCTAATGGGCTGGCGAAGGTAGTTTATCCAAAACTATGACCCAGTGAACACGAGGTCTGCACCATTTTCAGTTTTCCAACCATGATTTCTAACCTGCCAGGTGGTCTAGGTAGACTTCTTATTGCCAGGTGAATTCTCTAATTACAAAAGAATAGGACATTAAGGAAACATCGGGCCCTGGCCAGGTAGTTCAGCTGGTTAGTCATCCCGATATGCCAAGGTTGCGGGTTCAATCCCCGGTCAGGGCCCATGCAAAAGTCAATCAATGAATGCAGGAATAAGTGGAGCAGCAAATCGATGTTTCTCTCTCTCTCTCTCTCCCTCTCCCTAAAATCAATAAAATTTAAGCAAACATTGTTTTCTAAGCAAAGTTTCTTACAGCTCCTGCTTTCCTGACTTAAGTACCCATTCACTTTTCCCCCCAACGAGCTTTGGAGCGATTTAAGGAAAATAAATAGCCACTCCACAACTAAATAATTCTCTAAATTAAATCCACCTCTTTCTCTACTGGAAAATAATGCCTACTGCTGTTCTTTGCACATTTATACAGAATTTTCCATCTGCCCTGCTAATGGAACAATAAACAAAAGCCCTCGCTCTCGAGGAGTTTCTACTGCCTCTCTCAAGAAAAACATACTGAAATAGGACAGTTAATTAGTAAAAGAATGGATTGATTCACTTCTTACTACCCTTCTGTAGCCAGAAATGTGCTAATGAGAAAGAAAATGTGCAGCTGGGCAGCTGAAGGGGGGAGGCGGGCACAGTGAAGTTCAAAGTCTAGATGAACACTGGGGCATGGGCCACCTGAAGTGTGATGAAGTCACAGACCTCTGCCTTCTAAAAACTTTTTTTTTTTTTTGCATGAATCTCATGTCAAGAGATTCATCCTTTGGTGTCCATCATGGACCCCAGATGTACGGAACCCCTGGCCTCACTTCTAGAATTTACTCAACAATACAACTGCCCACAGAGATGCACGTCTAAAAACGCTCTCTGCTACATTCTTTCTAATGGCCAAGGACTGGAAAGGACCTAAATAGGGCCACCGAGAGGGGACTCGATTAGGTAAGATCATGGCCAATAGCAAGAATGGGATGAATTGATGAGTGTCCCGGAAAACAAAGATCAGAATGTGTGGTTAAGTGAAAAACAAAAGGTACAGGTCAAGGGGCCAAGTATAATTGTAAAACATAACATTTCTGAAAGGATGTGAAAGAAACTAGAAAACAGTGTGTCTGAGATGGAAGCCTGGACAATAAGGAATTTGAAGTTGGAAGAAAAATTACTTTTTAATTTTTAATCTACGTTATTACTTTTTTAATTAAAAGAAAGCTAGCCGGAGATAGATTCATAGTAGAAGAGAGAAAAGGAGAGAGAGAGTACAGAGAAGAGAGAGGAGACTGGTGAGACAGACTGATAGTTTCAGAAGAAATTCTGGTCTAGCTTAGTCCCAAAACAGCCCCAGCCTTGAGAAGAGCTGGTAACGGCAAACTGTTTGGCACAGAGACATAAAGAGGAAAGCATCTCATAAGCGCTCTCCCAGCCGGGCCGCTGCAGCACTCAGCGCAGCTGAACCTTCTCCCCACAGCGTGGCTTTTCTGGCCTTTCCTCTTGCCGAGCCAATTATGGGACGTCATAACAGCAGCACTAATATTATTTTTTAAAGGCTTATGTTGTTCACAAAATACCCATTAAACCCATCTCCTTGCCCCATTTACAGCGAGCTTCAGGGCAAATCCAGATGGCACAAATAATGCATATTTGGGCTCGATCTGCAAGAGGCCGGTCATCAGACAGCCATTATCAGTTTTAGAGGCCTCGACTGCCTGACACTCCCAGGTGTGTCCAGGTGAGAAGAGAGACCTTTCCAGAGAGGGCTGGGCTCTCTCCCCCTTGGCAAACCATCTTCAAGCTCCCCTGGCAGCTGCATTTGCTTTTGTGTCTAAACAGTTAGCAACAGCAACTGAGGGTTGCTTGGTAACCTGGTAACGGGCTGTGTCTAGGTGTTCCTGAGCAGAGGACCGGGCTGCATCTCCTCCCACGCAGCCCTGGGTGGCCAAGCAGAGCCAGCCGTCCTGGGAGACTCTCCTGCAGAGCCCTACGTTCCCATGGCCCCTCGGAAAAGGTCCAGGGGAGGGGTAGCCGCTCTTCACCTTCTCTGACAGGCACTAAACCCTTCCCTATGGCCTTCGGATAAAGAAAAACAAATGGAATGGAATAAAATCTGGCTAACTTTTTCATCCTCGAGAAGGCCCGGAATCAAGACCGAAGTCTCCCAAGGGGCACACAGGACCACCAGCCCAGTATAGCCGCTGAGAATAGACATGAAGCCCCCAGTCCCTGTGTTCCCACAACCTGCCATGAAAACAGCACTTTACGGGAGGGGGATGACCTGTCTCAGTCACCAGACAGCTCTGGATGCTCCCAGACAAGAACAGCGGACAGCACAGCACCTAAGTCGTCTGACTGGAGTATGAACAGCATGTGTGGTTGGAGGCAGGGGCAGGTTTTTTGTGCTGAGTCTCTATCTTGAGCTCACGTTAGATGAATTTTTATTTCCTGATTACATGCCACATAAGAAGTGGTGGGAGGCTGCGAGCATCAGCCCAAGTGAAGAAGATCCTCGAGTGCTCCGTGAATAATTCATGCAGGACATAACCTGGGCATAGATCACGGAGAACAAGCTGCGGTGTCACCGTAACATTTGTACGTTGACTGTCCCCAAGATCTAGAGGTCACCTGAGCCTACACATTGTGAAAATATCAAATTAAAATGCTGACACAGAAACCTGAAGACTTTTCTCCCTGAAACCCCTAATGTGAAGACAATGACCAGTCACCAATCTGTTTCCCAAGGCACTCGAGAGAGAAGTCCATGCAAAGGAGGAGGCGCCCATTCCCAGCATCATTTGCATGATTTTAGGTCCTAAGTCCATGGTCTACAGAAGAGTGGGAGGGGGAGGGACACAGGCTTCAGAGCCTGGGGCTTGCAAGTTAAACATGAGACTTAAATAAATTCGAAGGAAAAGAGAGGCATCCACCTCTCCTCGCACTCACTGGCCCTCAAATTAGCCAAATGCCGAGTGAGCAATGACTGGGCATGTGGGAGTGGGGGAGAATCTTACAGAGACTGGAAAAGTGTCACCTTTCTAGTTTACCTTCAACTCCTGCTCAGTGGCCACGCCCTGCCTGCCCTCCCCACGGAGGAGATTCGGGAGTGGCTGAGTCCCCTCAAGGGACAGACTCCCTCTCAGAAGGCATGACTTTGCTGAGCTTTTAGGTTTTCTGGCTCTACAATGAATCAGTGAGAGAAATGGCCAGTTTCCCAGATGAATCAAAAAGAGGAAAGTCATGTACATGGGGAGGATCATTCAGGGTCCGTCAGAGAGGTGGAGACAGGACAAATGCCCACACACTCTAACGCAAACCAGCCAGATCCCATCAGAGGGGTTCTTTTCCACTGCCCCAGTTGGAAATATAATCAAAAGGCACGGTTACCCCCTGTACAGCAAGCCGGTGGTTTGGAGAGTAAGCGAGATGGGAAGGCCCAGGGCCAGATGCCCATTCGGCCCTGTGCATAGTGGGGTGAGTCATTTGGAGGCCCAGGACAGAGCCCCTGGCACCTCCTGTCATCCCTCCTGCCCCCAGGCCCCAGTCTGCCCTGTCTAGCTCAGCCCAGGGTCTGCGGCAGGGAGCTTGCCTGAAAGGAGCCCAGCTCTACCTATCCGGATGGAGAGTTCACTCGCGGGGAAGAGCAGCCTGGGACCCTCGGCATCAGACTTCTTCATCAACACAGGGTCCAAGGTCAGCGCCAGGGCCGTCTGGGGGTCTTCTGCTGCACCCTGAAACAAGAAGCAGTCGCTGTGACACTTCTACTACCTTCATTCCCCACACCCCGCCAGCTCAGAGCTGCCAGGCAGCTTGCCAATCTCCACCAAGAGCATCGGGCCACCGGGCCAGTCCCCGGGCCAGACCCAGCTGTCGGCAGGCTGGGTCATTAGGAAGAGGGCAAGCTTTCTGGTTGTAGAACTTTTGGGGTGACAGAAACAGGATCTGAGGGGTCCGTGCGGGTCATAGAAATGGGAAAAATACATCGAAATCCCATTCGGCAGAGCAAACGGCACCACAGGCTCAGCCCCTGAACCATCCAGAGAAGCCCATTTGGCAGGTTCGCTCGAATGGCAGCGCCGGTCCAGGAAGCAAAGTCAACATTTCTTAGACATGCACCACCTTCACATTTCTCACGTGATCAGAAGGGAAGGCACAGCGAGCATTAGGGAGGTCACAGCATATGGGGAGGTAGGTCCAGATGGCCTGAAACAACCACATCGCCCTCTGCTTTGTCTGTCACTAATTAATTCGACCATTTGAGCATTAACCAGGCAAAGTCTTAATTCTGATCCCCACATTTACTTAATAAGTACTTACTGACCACCAATCCTGTGGATACTGGCAAACAAAACAAGGCAAAGTCCCAGCTCTTAGGTTCCAGCTAAGAGAAAACAGATGGCCCTGGCCGAGTTGCTCAGTTGGTTAGAGCATTGCCCTGATACGCCAAGGTTGTGGGTTCGATCCCCGGTCAGGGCACATACAAGAAGGAACCAATGAATGCATAAATAAGTGGAACAACAAATCAATGTTTCTCTCTCTCTCAAATCAATAAATAAAAATTCAAAAAGAGCAGAAAGGTGAATCCAAAATGGGGCCATGAACTTCTGCTCCCGAGGCATCAGCTGAAACCTCATGGCCCTGCTGACGGCACAGGATCTCAAGGGAATGAGTAGAGCGGTGACCGCCCCCCAACACAAACACCTCCACTTTTACCCAAACACTAAGGGAAGGTGAGTAAAATCGTCTCAGTGGGCATAAAAACAGTCATAAAAACAGTAGGTATTTCTTGAAAACCAGGCAAAAATAGTTCCAAAGAAAGAAGTTTCCATTTAAAAATCTGTGTCTCTCAGATGGGAGAGGAGAGGGTTTCTGATCCCGTCACTGAAATGCAGCCATTTATGAGCAAATGCTAAAACTGTTTTCTTGGGTAAGTTTCTTTCATGACAGAATCTCACAAAAGTGATGTCTGGCTGTGTCTTACACACACACACACACACACACACACACACACAGGGGTCAGGAAGAGAATCGAGTGATTCAGATTTTTATTTCATTATTTCTTTCCAACCAAGTGTTACAAACAAAAACATTGACCCTTCCTCTTACATCTTCTCATTTGTCCAATACATTGATATTGTCCTAATCGTTAATTTTCAGTGTCCTCTATAATGCATATTAGATGCCGACACCTCACTTAACTTTGTTTTAAAGAGGGAGGAAGCTTCGTGGCTCTCGGGTCCCTCTGTAGAATCCTAGGGGCTGCAGGATGTCACCTGCTCTGTCCCTGGGAGAGGCACAAAGAGGCAGCCTGTCACACTGTGTGACACTCGAGGTTGACACTACAGATGGACGGAATCCTGAGGACAGAAGGGACTTGAGGAAGGCTGGTCTCTCCCCCTGCAGAAACCCCTTCTCACCGCCCGAGTGACAGCTGGTGTCTGTGCCATGTGCCATGTGCCACACAATTGCAGCTCTTTGCTTTTTTATGGGCTTTAATTATTTCTAATCCCACATCTCCTGCTGACATCAGAGGAATCACGGCAGCAATAAAAGATGCTCTGGGAGAGCAGGTCAGCTGACCTTCCTTCGTCTCCCTTCTGTTTATAGCGTGATGGATGCGTGGCTGGGAGGAGGCTGCGGGAGGAGAACCACTTCATTACAGCGAGACGCAGCAGCACGAATGCACTCGACGCTGCTTGTTTGACTGGAGCCCATTTAGTAAGGAGCAGCCTGGAGAGACACCGCTTTTAATTGAGAACAGAGGCTTCCAACTGAGGTGATTTCACCCCCACCCCCGCCACCAACCAGGGACATTCGGCAATGGGCATTTGTATGTGGGGGTGGGGGAGAGGGGTGGTGCTGGCATCCAGTGGGTAGAGGCCAGGGATGCTGCTAAACACCCTACAGGGCACAGGCCAGCCCCATGGCAAATGATCTGCCAAACATCAACAGTGCTGAGGTTGAGAAAGATTCGGGATGCTCAGAGCCCAGAGCTGCCTGATTATGGGTAATGCTGGGAACTCGCAGACCCTCCTGTTTACTATAAAGACAGGACGTTTGCCACTGCCTCCAGGAAGCCTGCCTGCCTTCCTGTATTTGACAGATTCTTATTAAGCATCAGAACTATTCCAGGTTCCGATACAAAATAGCAGAGCCCAAGGTCCTCCTGAATCCTGCTGCATTCTCCTTCCAGAGACAGACAATAAATGAGCAATAAATTACCAGGTAGAGCATGGAGTAGTGGAGAAGAGGAAGTCATAGCCATGGTGACCCAGCCATCCTGGATAGGGTCGCGGGTTCGATTCCCAGCAAGGGCATGGACCTGGGTTGCAGTTTGGGCCCTGGCCCCCGTCAGGGCACGTGTGGGAGGCAACCAGTTGATGTGTCTCTCTCACCCAGATGTTTCTCTCTCTCTCCCTCTCTCTCTCCCTCCTCCCCTTTCACTCTCTCTAAAAAAAAAATCAATGAAAAAAATACCCTCCAGTGAGGATTAACACACACACACACACAAACACACAAACACATATACAACTAGCTGACGAAGGGCCAAGGGAAAGGTCAGAGAATTAATTGGTGTCCCCTGCCAGCCACAGCTAAACCAGGCCCGCGTTACACCCCAGTGGGGAAGGCAAGGAGGATGTGAAGGGAAGTCACACACAGCCCACCCCCAGGGACTTAGGGACCCTGAGGCTGCAGAAGGGGCCTGGAGCCCCACGAGAGCTTCGCCTCCCTCCTCCATCCCCCACCAGCCTCCTGTGTCTCTCACCATCCCCACTGAACCCGGACACATGAGGTGGCATTAAATAATTGATGTTGGTTTCATTACTGAGAAATTGCAATAATAATGACACTCGTAACACAATCTTAAATTATTCCACATAATGGAAAAAAAATTAAATGTCGCCCCTTATCACCAGCCAGAATATGGATGAAGCTTACATAAGAGGTGACCTTCTCTCCCCAGGAGCCCAGCAGCGACCTGCTGCCCAGGGCCAGGCTCGTTCAGGGTGATGGCGACCGGCCCCAGAGCAAACAGGAAGACAGAGTGGCACAGACACTGAGGCAGAGGGTACAATCCTGCCTCGGGTTCTATTAGACAGGTCGCTGCCATCTTCCCTGTCTCAACTGCCTGCATGTTCAGGGATCACGGGCCGTAGACAGGAGGCCTAAAGACAAGAAGAACGACGACAAAGTACCAGGTCCCTACTTGGTTTCTGGGGCACAATTCACCCTGCCCAGCTTGGGACACTATGATTGCATGAGTCCCTTGTCCCTACAACAAAATGACATCCAATCAGTGGCCAGCAAGGCATGTTTTCAAGCTTCTAATTGTTCCATACTTGATACTTTTAAAATCCTGGCTGAAGAAGACCAAGCTCCCTCCTCCAGGAAGCCTTCCTGGGTAAACCCAGCCTAGTCTGGATTAAATATACCTCCCTCTCTGTGACATCCCACAGGTGCTTCTATCATAACATTTGCATAGCTGCACAGTAGCTTTTCATTCCCTTGGCTATCTCAAAACCATGAGATTCTTAAAGCAGGAGCTGTGTCTTCCAGCCCTACGGTCAGGGCCCAGCATGGTATCAGTGTTCAATAACTAAGCTAATTTACTGGCATGAACAATACCACAAAGTCTCCAAAATGATGTACAACAAAAAAGCGAAGATCCAGGTAAGCACACAATGGTTAGGCCCTGAGAAAGAGGGAAAGAGAGATTCGTGCAGAGAGGGAAAGAAAAGGCTTTGAAAGTATTCTAGCTAATGGCAAATAGCATGACTTTCTACCCATCCCAGCTTCTGTCCTCTTGATGATGATGTAAGACTCTCAAAATCAGCCCAGAGACCACATGAGGATGGGTAGCTACCTACCCTGCGACTCTCAACCCGAAGGTTCTATGTCCACTTCCTTCCTGGCAGGAATACTCAGAGTGGGGCAGCCCAGATCACTCCTCTTGAAGGTAAGTCCTTTCCACCCTGGAGCCATGATCGGTCCAAGGCCACATCTTCCAGCTTCCTCCCTGTCTCCTCCTAGACCGTAGCCTGAAGCTTCACAATGGAGAAAATTAATTACAGACTTCTAGCTATATTTAAGTTATGCAAGTAGGCTGTTACTCAAACTATCTTCTTAGGGACAAAAACCTTCTCCTATTTCTGATGCCGAATTACTATTTATAATCAAGCCTACTTAAACACATGAAACAGAATTTAAAGCTCCCTACAGCTCTGCAAAGCCTCGGCTCTGTGGGAGTCTGCAAAGAGAGCCCTCCAACAGATGCTCCAGGTGAAGGGCTCCACGCTGGTGTCCCAAAGGGCCAGGTCTCCTACCGCATGACTGACAGAGTTTTCCAAACCATTGTGCTTCTTCTTGTAACTTGAAATAGAAAGTCTCCCTAAAATAATACAAATCTAAAGAAATGCAAGTACCTAAGTATAATGAGGTATTTTCTTTCTAATCCTCACTGATTACCCATCCCTCTTAAGCTAGTCCTAGAAAACATTAAAATGCACCCATATAATCCACTCTGAGCCTCTTCTGCCTTTTCAACAGTTTGAGAACCCCCAGCTGGTCTTTTTCAGACAACTTTTTCTCACCTCTGCTATCCTTTTGGAGCATACTAGGTCCCTCCAGAAATCTGCCAAAAGTCAAGGTTTCTCCTCCCAGGAAAAAATGCACGTGCATCTAGACACTTATTGCTAGGTAACAGAACACCCCAAAACTCAGTAGCCTCCAA